CCTCTAGGAGCCCAGCAGTCACAGAGCTGGGTCCCTTGGACAGCTCCCCTGGGCAGAACCCAGCTGTTGCCTCCAATCCCAGGAGCCCTTTTTCTCTGTGGTGTGTGGCAGGTTGCAGTTTGCCCTGCTAGCACCTGAGGTCGGGGCTCCTGTGCCTGGTGCCACGCCTCGTTCCCGATACCCCAGCTCTCTTCCACACAGCAGCAACCCGGACCAGCTGCATGCTGCCCCATTGCCTGGCCGGCTTGCTAGCTGGTGTCCTCCTGCTCTGACTCATGGGGAGGCTTGTGCTGCCCCCCACTGGGCACTACTGGAAAACCAGCTCTGCGGGTGTTCAGCCTTGGGCCTCTCCCTCTGGGGTTTTGATGTGAGCCTGAGATCTTGGCTGTTTAGTTTGTTGGCTGAATGTCAGGGGGGTTGTTGGCGAGAAACAGCTGATCTCTCCCTGGTTCCCCTTCCTCATCCACACCCTCAGGATGAAGATTAGCTATCCCCACTCCTGCATCCGCACCGATGAGTTGTTCTAGGGCTGTATCTGGTGAGGCGCTTTGCCTGTGTGGGTTGGCTCTGTGGTGAGGCTAAGCCGCTCTCCGGGCCAGACTCCTGCTCTCTGGGGAGCGTAGCTTAGGTTGGTGGTGATGGTAACAGCTTCTCTGCGCCACGCAGCTGCTGCCAAGTGAAACTCGGGGAGACAACAGCAAGGGCTTAGTGACGCCACAGTAACACATGGGCCGTGGGGCTTAGTGAAGCCAAGATAACCCGTGAACTCCAGGGCGCTTAACAACACTGCAGTGATACACAGACCACAGTGCTATGCAACACTAGTGAACTATAGGCTCCAGGAGCTTAGTGACCCTGAGGTGGCATGTGGGCCCAGGGGCTTAGCAGTGCATAGTGATACACAGGCCCCCAAGGCTTAGCAGCAGACAGGCCTGGGGGGAGGGGTACTACATGTCAATAGTATATGCTGTAGTGACAGGCAGACCCAAGGCTGAGTGACACTGTGGTGACAAAAAAGCTCCAAGGGCTTTGTGAAACTGCAGTGAAATGCAGGCCTAGGTGGTTGTGGTCCCATTCCCCCCCCCCATGACACACAAGCCGGGGGACTTAGTGACAGGCAGAGCCTGAAGCTTAGCAGTGCTATGGTGACACCTAGGCCCTAGAGCTTAGAGACACTGTGGCGACACACGGGCCTTGGAGCTTAGCAGTGCCACAGAAATGTGGGTCCCTGGGCTTAACGATGTCCCTGGGCTTACAGGCAGGTTTGAGGGCTTAGCTAGTCTGTGGCAAAATGCCGACATTGAGGCTTAGGGGCACCACAGCAACATGCAGGCTCTATGGCCCAGTGATACCACAGTGACATGCAAGCCCAGGGCCTAGTGACACACAGACCTGGGGGTTCAGCAATACCACAGTGACACACCGGCCCAGGGGTGTAGTGCCGTTCCAGTGACACTCAGGCATGGGGGCCCAGTGATTCCACAGTGAGATACAGGCCCCAGAGTCCAGTGATGCTTAAGCAACACACAGGCCCCAGACCTTAGCAATACTGTGGTGGGACTTAGCGATGCTGTAGCAACCTGTAGACTCAGGGGCTCCATGACACCACACAGACCTTGAGGCTTAGCAAGGCTGTGGTGACATGAGACCCAGGGCTTCCGTGGTGTAGCAGCAAGACATGGGCCCTGGGCTTAACACCATGGCAGCAACACACAGGCTCTTAGTGTCACAGCACTATAGTGACATAGAGCCTCAGGCAGCCAGTCCCTGCCATCCCTGCATGGAGGGCTAAATGGGGAGGGCAGAGCTGGGGCTGAAGCTCACGCCCAGTTTTCTGTGGTGGAGAACAGTGCTAGGTGCCTGGCTGGATTGGGATCCAGGAGGTTTTCTCCCTGTGGTCTTGCTTTAGATTCTTCCCAGCACATGCAGGGACCTAGATGGAAGAGCTGTCCTCATGAGATCCTGACCTTTTACCCTGCTCCCCTCCATATACCCACCCCATGTATAAACAGGGAGCTACAAGCTGATCATTATCAGAGGGCTGGGACCAGGCCCTGCAGTGCTCCCTAACATGCTCCTCCAGCATCCCCTGCACACAAGTGTAGCTTACCAACCTGTACTACTACTCTCTATTGGCAGCTCATCAACCAATGGACTTCAAGACAGCAGGGATCCTTGCTCAGCCCTTCAGAGTATCACTTGGTAATAGACCCATCAATGCCAGCCACATGCCTTTGTGAGAAGGAAGGCTGGGCTTGGGACTGAAGCATGAATATGGGAGGCAGACACCTGAGGTTCTGGCACCTTGCAATATGCTCTGTGTGCTCCTCCATATTCTCCAATGTCCTACTGCTCCAAATCCCCACGTAGGGTAAAGACTGGCTAATCTAGAGGCAACGTTTGTCTGTAGGCCACTGGCACAACCCTGCTTCAGTCTCTCAGGCCCCAGGGACATGGCCTTCCCCGCAAAGGGCCTGGTGTGTGGGAGCCTCTTACCTTAGACACCAAACTGAGCCCCAGTTTTGGAGCGTCTAGGATGCGTTGTCAGACTCCCCTTCAAATGCAAGAACTTTGAGACTGTGCCTGTCCCTGGCCTCACTGTACAAGGCAGGATTCTTTTCTCTGTCTGTGCTTTGTGCATTCCCAGAGCCTTACTGTCTTGGGATTTCAAAGCACTCCCCACTCGAGGAGCCAATTCTAGACCCTCTGAGCAAATGGGCAAGGATAGCACATTGGTATTAGGCCACTTGTAAACACTCGGAAAGTCATTCATCCTGACAGCTCTGACTCTTAGACCACTGAACCAACAGTTCCACCTTACTCACCTCCAGGAGCTGGACACAGACCCCAGCAATCTGAGGCTGTCTCAATCCCAAGATGCCCCTTTATTTCTGTTGGTGTCTAAACACATGACAGATTTTTTGCTGCAGGTACCTCAGAAATGCTAGTAAATAACCCTAGCATTCCTTCCCTGTGATGAAATAAATGTGAGCCCTAGAGAGAGCTCCCCTGTTGGAATCACCTCCTGTCTACACTGCATGGAGCATCTTGCCATGTGCTACTGCATATGTGTGTACATGCATAGGCATTCATATGCATGCACACACTCACATGTGCACATGCCTCCATGCACTCCTGTCCAGAGATGGGACCAGGGGGGATCCCCTGGCTGATCTGTGTGCAGGGGGAGCCCCCAAGCTATACCTGCTCCACTGTAGCTGAAGGCTGCCACTGTGTAGTGTCCTGGGCTTGACGGAGAACAGCAGTGGTAGCACACAAGTTCCTCCTTCCAGCACCTGCTCCCAGACAGCAGGGCATGCCTTAGGGGGTTAGCAGGGACCAGGGACCGGAGGAAAGAATATTCATGCTGCTGCTGGTGTTCCTGGCGGAGTCTGGCTCCCCACACAACCAGTCCCCTCAGCCCCTCACTAGAGCAGGACAGGAATGGCTCTTTCCACCCACCCCACCCTCCCCATAACCCCTGATCAACAGGGACAGTGGCAACAGTGCTGTGGGCAGGGGGCAGGTCCACATTCCCCTTTGTGCACCTGCTTCCTGCCTAGCTCCTCTGCCCAACCCACCATGCCTTACCCCTAGCCCTCCATGGTCTGAGAGGCAGTGTGCTGCAACCCCCCATGGATTTGCCGATGCTCACATCCCAGTACATATGTACACTTGCACGCACACACATGCACTCACATGTACATGCACATGCATGTAGTCACACACAATGCTCATGCACTTGCATGTATGCATAAGAAGCACACGTGTGCACGCATGCACAGCCACATACACACACCATGGCCTGTGCCCCTACCTGCAGGGCAGCTGCCTACCTGCAGCCAAAGCCAAGCTGTATTTTGTCCTGGGGGTTGTTTGCAGAGATTAGGCCCAGTACAATGGAAGAGCACCATTTGCAGAGTGCATTCAGAGCAAACCTGGCTGGGCTGTCCATAGGGCTGGGGTCAATGCTGGTGCAGCTCCCTGTTTGCTGCTCCCTTATAGCCAGTGAACAAATGTGGTTGCCCTGCCACCTCTTCCATGGAAATGGCTCTGTGGCTAACCTCACTGCCCTATGTAGCCAAGCAGAATAGGAGTCAAGAAGAGGAGGCTGGAATCGCAGTGCTATGGGCAGAGCTGGCAGGCTACTTCTGCTCAAGTTGCTGTCATATCCACCTTCCTTCTGTGGGCACCACAGAGGCAGACACAAGTGAAGACAGAAAGACTGGCATGTGGCTGGGCTAGCATCAGCTCATGCCCATGCCCCTCCTTGCAGAGCCCTGCAACTTCTTGTACCCCACTCTGATGTTTGACCCATGCAGGCGGAGGAGAAACAGCTGCTTGTAACTCCATACTCAGGCTGCACGACAGGTCACTCATGCCTGCAAGGCTGGGGAGAGGCAGAGTTAATCCCCAACCCTCCTTGCTGGCCCTGGGCAGGGCTGTGCAGAGGGGGTGCTGTGGGCTCTGAAGCAGCCAAGCCAGTTTTGCTGGCCTGGCCCTGCTCTCCTCTCCTTGCGTGAGGCCCTGGGAGGAACAGGCAGCTTCTGAGTTCAGCCTGGCTCCTGAGGCCTCCTCAGTTGACCTTAGGACTAAGGACACTCCTTCCCCGCAGCCGGGGGAGTGGGCATGCGGCAAGATGAAAAATGCAGTCCTTGATCAAGAGCCAAGGGGAGGGAGGCACAGGAGAAGGGACACAGCCAAGGAGGGAAGGGAATCCAGGAACCCTGCCTCCCCCAGTGGAGAAGTGCTGACAAAGTGACAGCGGAAGAGCCCCCCCGCTCCCCGCGTGGGGAGGGCCCAGCTGGAGGAGGGGGAGGGGCGGTGGTGGTGCAGGGTGGGAGGGGCCTGTGGCAGCTAGGTCACCCAATGCACCAGCTGCTCAGCTCCAGAGGCGTGCACTAAAATCTGGCCTGATTGCACAAGGAGAATGTGTGATAGACTCAGTGTCCTCCCTTTGGGGCTCTGCTCAGGAGGGACCCAGGGTGCGGATGGCAAGGAACCACTGAGCAGACTTGATGGACATCAACAGAGCTATGAGGGCCGGGTGCTGGAATCCCAGGGAGAATGCAGGTCAGGAGGACGGGCATCCCCAGAACTGGAGGGGACACAGGGCTGGTGCAGAGGACTTCAGGGTGGGACTGAGACACATTTCTGGGGCTGTCCCCGTTTTCTATATAGAATTGATTGGTCTTCAGATCTGGGCTTTTGCTTTCCAGCGTCCATTTAAGAGCCATTCCAGGGTCCTGGTCCCAGGCAGGGACATTTCCAGTGGTGGATGAGTGCGTGATCCCTTGTTCAAGTGTGTGGAAGGCAGGGGAAACACCATGTATTTGGGTCCAAGAAGGCAGTTTTTCCTTAAGCGTTCCCAAGGATAACTGTTCTTTTGGTGTGGTTTAGTAGCCTTTGAGGTGTTGAGGCTTAAAACCCACTTTATGGAAATGGGAGGCTCCTCCCTAGCTTGCTCCTGCAGCCATATGGCTGAGGGCAGGCGAAACTTGGTGGCATCTGAACCCCAAGCCTCCAGGCTTGGGCCTGCACGTAGGATGCCTGCCAAAAGACGTTGGAAACATCTGAAGCCCCTGGTAGGGGTGGAGGATGTTTGCCAGTCATAGGGCCACTTATGGTTCTGGACTGACTCGTGGATTTGGACTTGATTTGTCTGATTTGGCTTGGAACATGAAAAATTTCTTTAAAAAAAAAAGTGTGGTCAGAGCAGTAGAAGGAGACCTTTCACCTGCTGTCTCCCTTGGCTTCTCCGTTCCAGGCCACCCAGTTGAGACTGCACCTCCCTCCCTGGGCCAGAGAGGGAGCCAGGTCTGGAAGACGACTTCTCCCCGGAAGGACGGGACGCTGCTCGTGGCTGGCACTGGGCACCATGCATTCCCTGGACGAGCCCCTCGACCTTAAGCTCAGCATCTCTAAGCTGCGGGCTGCACGAGAGAAACGCGAGAGGGGCCTGGCCAGCGCCAAGCACCGGGCCCTGCACCGTGAGCTCAGGATTACAGATGATGGCACTACAGCCATTGGCCCCCTCTCTCCCAGCTCCCCGCCAGCTGGTAAGGGCCCAGCCTGCAGAGGGCAGGGGTCCCGCTGGAATCTCAGGGTTAGGAGCAGCCATCTGGGCTTGGGCAGAAGGGGGCACCATATGCTTTCAGACTATCCTCCATGTGCAGAGTGGAAGAGAGGTTAGGGCCAAGGTGGGCAAAATACAGCCCGCAGGCTAGATCTAGCCCACCAAGGAATTTTATCGGGCCTATGGTTGGTCCCTCAACCCTGCTTTCTGTTCCATGGGCAGTGACATGCTGGGAGTGAATCATGGTTCTGCCCTGCCCCTTCCCCCGCCCGGGTCACTGCTCCAAGATCCTGGCCTGGGCTCTGACCCTGGCCCTGGCCTTGCCTACCTGTCCTGCTCCCAGAGGCTGCTTCCCAACCACCTGTGGCCCCATCCCATCTGCATGGCCCGGTACCCTGCCTGCAGGGTCCCGGGCTGCATAAACATCACGTGCTGCCCAAGGCGCTTCTGCAGGTGGCCACAGTGGTGTTGGCAGCGATGGGGGTAAGTGGTGGGCACCAACCGGCAACCACCCGCAGAGGCTGCCAGCAGTGTTGGCAGCGAGCAGTGACCACTTGCACCTGTGTGCACCCTCTAGGCATCACCAATGCCAAGCTGGTCTCCATAGAGATCCCAGGGCAGGATGGGGTTGCTGGGTGGTGACAGTGCAGGGCTGGGCCCTGGGGCAGAGCTACTTAGGGGGTTTTGGTGAGCTGGGGGGGGGGGGGGGGGGGTGTCGCTCACCCAGCCCACAACACCTCACCAAAATGTCCTAAGTGACTGTCCAGCCCAAATAATTGCCCACTTTGGGTTAGGTAGTGCCTTGTCTGATTGAAAGGATTCAGCTCCCAGATGTTCTGGCCAGGGCGAGGGGTATTTGGGGCACAGCCTGGCCTCAGACCCCAGGCAATCAGTGATTTGCCCCATTTATTGCTGGGCTGTCATGAACTGGAGTCAGCACTCAGGGAAATCAAAGCAGATGAAGACAAGCAGAGGTGGGGAAGGCAATGTCATGATGCCACCCTGTATGTCCCACGCTGGATGGACACTAAAGTCTAGTCCAGGTTATTTTCACCCAAGGCTGCCAGACCACTGCTGTGCACCAGCACAAAGGTGGATGCACTCTTACAGGGATGTGGAGAGGGAAGTCCTGTGAGGAAGCCATGAGAATGAGGGATGTTAGGGAACATGGAGGTTGCTTCTCACCCTTTGCCCTGGCTGGTTCTGTGTCCCCTCAGGCCTCCTGGCACACTCCAAGTTCCATGACAAACGGGATGCCCGCTTCTCCTCGGTACCCATGATGGACCTGAGCCTGTCTCCCCCATCAGGCCTGGACTCTCCTAGTGGCAGCACCTCACTGTCCCCTGAACGGCAGAGCAGTGGTGACCTGCCCACATCCTCCACCCCACATGTAAGTGAGATGCCAGGCCTGGCACAAGGAGCACTGGGATCTTAGGCAGAGCGAACAAGTGCCTGCGAATGAAGTGGGTGAACGACCAGGCCCAGCTCCTTCCTTCTCTATTTGGCAGGAAGGGGCTTTCCCAGGGTTACCCTGGGTAGGGCCTGTTTGATCTGCCCTGGCACTACCGAAGGTTGGCAGCTGGACTGATGCTGTAGCTGCAAGTCATAGTTCATCTCTAGGGCCCTTACTACTCTAGACCAGCAGCTGACCTGCAGTGGGAGTAGGCTGCCCAGAGCAATAGGACCAGGGATGCTGCTAGGGTATGTGGGTAGCTCACCTGGCCCTTACCCCCAGGGATGGGCTGGGGTCTATTTTGGGGGTGCAGGCAGCTTGCCCAGTCTGTAATCCCCTCAAAGGGAATGGGTTGGACAGCAGTGCGAGAAAGAGCCAGGCTGGGCAGGCACAAGAGCCAGCTGGGGCAGAGCTGGGCAGCAGAGTGAGCAGGGCAGTGAGCAGGCAGGAAGAGGGGGATAAATGGCAGAGGCTAGCAGTGCCAGTTACCTATCACATGGTTAGAAGGAGGGAACAGTGGCCCCAGGAAACAGGCATGGGAGACCATTTCTAGGAAGTGGGGTCACCCTGGCACAGCCCAGCTGCCCAGGACTATGACCATGCAAGCTATCTGTTAACTTTTCCAACCCAGACTGTGTGCCAGTATTCAAGCCTTGTTTCTGTTAGTGAGAGAAACTGCTGCTGGAGCTAGGGACCTCTTTGTTGCAACCACCTGTATTTACTTGGGAGGGACAAAGTCCTGTTTCCCAGAACACCATGGAAATCAAACAGCAGGAGTCAGTGGCTTTGCCCACAGTTCCACAGCCGTGTCTGGCCAGCACTTCACCCAGCAGCTCTCCTCTTGAGGCTGGTTCTGAGAGTCATGCAACAAGTCTCTCCGTGGCTGGCTTTCAGGTCCTGTGTCTGTTCTTTCTGGGCAGTGTTGTGCTGTGTCTGCCTTCTTCCTTTTCCACCCCCCGTAACTTCCTCAGCAATACCCATCTCCATGCAGCTCTGTTTGGCCACAGAGGTCCAATCCTGAGTGACGGTGAGTAGGCCTGTGCCTGGGTGAGAGTTCCCATTGCTTCAGGCCCATTGCCACTTACATTTACATTTGTGTGGGGGACAACAGGTCCACCCCCAGCCTGGGCATAGCACCCTAGTAACCTGTAAGGCAGTGCCAGCATGGATCATACCCAGTCACTGATCTGTTGAGCTCTGCTCTCTGGCCCTGACCAGCCCCATGCGCTGTGCCATCCAGAGATGTTCTGCCTGGTAGAGAAATCAGAATCTGTACTACCTTGTCTTCCTCTGAGGGCAGAGCAGGGCAGGGGCTGGCTTTCCCAGGGATTGTGTTGAGTTAGGACAGTATGGTGATTCCAGCATAGGGTGACCATCCATCCCAGTTGGAAATATGGGACATCTAGGACACTACCTCTCCCCCTTCCCAAGTCAGTGGCTTGATGCAAGGAGAGGTAGAGGCAGAGTGTCATGCTGTGACAGGCAGCCTGCCCAGCTGCCTTCCTGGGGAACTATGTCACTTCCCTTCTCCACCAAACTGTGCCGTGTACCCAGGATGTTCATTTTACTCTGCACCTCATGCCCGGGACCTGCCTCCAAAATCCAAACTGTCCTGGGAAAAGCAGGATGGATGGTCACCCTATAGCCAGCACCACTTGGTGCCAGGGCTGGGCTTTCATCCATTTCAGTGGTGACATTTCCTGGCACCGTTGTCCCATGGGTGCTGTGTGTGCAGGGGTCCCCTGCAGAGCTCAGTGCGGTGTAGCTGGTTTAAATGCCATCTTCCACAGTAGTCTGGAGAGCACTGGCCTTGACTTGGCTCCAGGACCCATCTGTGTGAGGTGAGTCAGCATTAGCACAAGGGCAGCATGGAGACCTGTTGCTCAGTGACCACCTGCACCAAGGAAGGTTGGGATCTGAGGCAGGGGCAGTGGCCTCCCAGTGCCCTAGGCCAGGGGTCAGCAACTTTTTTGGGCAGAGTGCCAAAAACACCTGTGACCTCGACTTGTAAGATGTTGGCATGCCAGGGGAAGATGGTGGGGGAGCTATGAGGGGCCCAATCCTTGTAGTGGCAGTATACCCCAGCCCCTTCTCCACTGTCCACCCTGAGGTCCATGGGCCAAGCAAAATGTCTTTGAGTGCCAGAGGTTGCCTACCCCTGCCCTAGGCTGAGGCTCCCTCCTTTCCCAGCCACTTGCTCTGCTGCCCCTATGGGGCCAGCCCTAGTTTGGCCAAAGGAGCTGCTTGGTCTTCGTGCAGCCAGTTGGGTGCTCCCAGTGTCCCTGAGCTGGGGATTCTAACCAGTCATTTTTGGTCTGCCCTGCCCCAGGATTTCCAGTCCTTGCGCTACATTGATGGCATCCCCAGCTCTTTCCAGTTCTTCCTGCCATTGAGCTCTGGCGGTGCCCTGCACCTGCCCCCCTCAGCCTTCCTGACACCCCCCAAGGAGAAGCGCCTGTCCCCAGAGCTATCCCTGCCGAAACAGCTGGTGTGTCGATGGTCCAAGGTGAGTAGGGGCCTTCCAGTGTGTCATGGTGTCCACTCCGGGTTGGCTGGGAGGGGGGTAAACAGAGACTGCAGCCACGAAAGCACATTACAGTAAACCAGGACACAGCCTTTACAGAGAGGGGTTGTATGATGCATACCTGGGTGCCACAGGGGCTGTGTGGTGCATGCTCTGGTGCCAAGGGGGCTGTGTGGTGTGTAACTTGGTTCATGGGAACTGTGCAGCATGTGGTTCATCTGTGGATCTGAATACACCATGTCCTACCTGTGTCCTGGCATTCTCCAGACATCCTGGAGAATCCAACCTGTGTCTATAGGTACCTTCTTCCTCCTGCACAGAACAGTGCTGGGTTGCAGAATGGGAATCTGGCAATATGGGAACAGATTTCACAGCTCAAAGAAGTCCAGGCCGAGATCTCCAGACTCATGCCTGCCCTGCTGACCGCAGTTGGACCCCCTCCAGCTAGAAACTGCATGCAGTTCCCAGAGTGCTGGTTTGCCTATAGCTGGCATGTCCCCTAACCCCGGCCCTGCTCCTCCTGCCCACAGTGTAATCAGCTCTTTGATTTGCTGCAAGACCTGGTGGACCACGTCAATGACTTCCACGTGAAGCCAGAGAAGGATGCTGGCTACTGCTGCCACTGGGAAGGCTGCGCTCGCCATGGCAGGGGCTTTAATGCCAGGTAGGGTATGGGACAGAGGACACATTGTCCAGGGGTGGTGACTTGCAGTCCAGATGGCACTGCAGGAGGTGGCTAAGAAGTCACTTTCAGTAGGAACATAACTCAGCCATGTTGTCATGAGCTGTGGTGGTTCAGAGACATGATACATGGAGTTTCCAGTCAGATTTCTACTTCTCCAGAATTAATCACCTGCACTGTTTTCCTGAAGTGGGAGAGTAGGAAGTTCAGGAGTGGGATAGAAGATTGGGGGCTCGACACCTGTCGGACAGGACAGGCACCGAGGATCCAGGCTTAGTGAGTCACTGTGGACAGTTTGATAAAAACGTCAGCATGGAGCTCGGCAGCCATCAAAAGGCAAACAAGATGTAAGGGATTTTTAAGAAGGGAATTGTAAACAAAATGGAAAGCATCATCATGCCCCTTTATAAATACACGGGCATCCACACTTTGAATACTGTGCCTAATTCTGGTCCCCACACCTCAGAAAAGATACAGAAGTACTAGAGAAGGTACAGAAAAGGGCAACAAGGATGATTAGTGGTATGGAGGGGCTTCCATGTGAGGAGAGACTAAAAAGGCTAGGTCTATTCAGTTTAGAAAGGGGGTGCTTAAGGGGGCACATGATAAGGATTTACAAAATACTAAATGGTGAAGAGAAATTGATAGGGATTTATTATTTACTCTGACAATGCAAGAACTAAGGGATACAAAATGAAATTAGTAGGTGGTAAGTTTAAAACTAACAAAAGGAAGTTCTGTTTCACACAGAGTGTCATTAAAGCATGGAACTCATTAGCACCAGATGCTGGGGAAGCTGGCAGTTTAGCCAGATTCAAAATGGACTCGACACATTTTGGAGGAAAGGTGCATCAGTAGCTATTGAGCATGGGAGTTAGGGATACAGCCTCTGTATCAGAACTTCCTAGACCCTAAATGCTGGAGGCTGCAAGTGAGAGAGGAACAGTGGAAAAGCCCTTGATCATACCCTGTTCACTCTCCCTTGCAGCATCCACTCTTTGCCACTCTGTGACATGGGACAGTAGGCAAGATGGACCTATGGTCTGACCCAGTAAATGGTTGTTCGTATGTTCTTGTCACTGTGGGACAGGAAAGCTGCTGGGACTCAATGATTAGGCTGTGTGATGGATTAATTGGGTGGAGGCTTCCAGGTTTTTCCATATTCCTCATATGACCTAGAGAAAGTCCTTCCCCTTCTTCCTTTTCCCTTCACCATCCTCTTCCCCTCCCCTGTGTGCTGGGGACCATATCTGCCTCACTCCCTGTCCAGTGGGGGTGGGTCCAGGTCTGCTTGTGTGCTCCGTGAAGTGAGACGCTGGCTTGGGAACAATAGTTCCCCAGGTGCTCTGTCCTAGAATTCCTGGGGCAGGAATGGCATGCCCCCTGCAGTCCCCCTGGACATTGGGCCCTGCCAGGCCTGCTCATGGCAGCAGGGCTGTTGCTCTCCCATTGCACAGGTACAAAATGCTGATCCACATTCGCACCCACACCAATGAGAAACCTCACCGCTGCCCCACGTGCAACAAGAGCTTCTCCCGCCTGGAGAACCTGAAGATCCACAACCGCTCACATACAGGTCAGTTGGCAGGGAGAGAGGGGAGGGGGTCCTTGCTGGGCTTGACTCTGCTCACTATACATCCAGTGCCAGAGAGCAAGGTGTTTCCCCCATCCTGCTCAGCTCAGGTATCCAGCAGAGAGCCCCTGTGGTGCTGCCTAGTGCTGCAAGGTGAGAGTTCTGTGTCCTTCTGGGGTCTGCTGGGGCTGGGCAGCTGCTAGCAATGGTGCTTTGGAGCTGGGGATGCTTACTGCGGGAACTGGCTTGAGCCCAGCAGCAGATTTCACATGGGCCCCTTGGCAGCAAGAATGTCCCATTGCTTTTGGCTTGGAGGTAGCCTGGAGGTGAAGGCCCAGGGCTCATACCTGTGCTCTCGGATCCGTCTTGCTCTGGGAGCCTATGGGAGATCCCGGTGCTCTTGTTTCCCTTCTGCAGGCGAGAAGCCCTACATCTGCCCCTATGAGGGCTGCAACAAGCGTTACTCCAACTCCAGTGATCGCTTCAAGCACACACGTACACACTATGTGGACAAGCCCTATTATTGCAAGATGCCGGGCTGCCACAAGCGCTACACGGACCCCAGCTCACTGCGCAAGCACATCAAGGCCCATGGCCACTTTGTGTCTCATGAGCAGCAGGAAATGCTCAAGCTCCACCAGCCCCCAAAGACGCCTGTCGCCTCGGCAGAAGTGCCTTATGTCAATGGGGCACAGATCATCATCCCCAACCCGGCTGCAATCTTCGGCACCCACGGCCTGCCTGGCCTGGGTGCATCCCTGCCTATTCCCCTCACACCAGCACCCCTGGATCTCAGCACCTTAGCCTGCAGTGGAGTGGGCTCTGCTACACTGCCAGGGCTGCCCAGCCCAGTGCTCTCCCTAAATGGTGCACCCTTGAACTTGGCCAAGAACCCCTTGCTGTCGTCTCCATTTGCAGCGGGTGGCCTGGGGCTTCCAGTTGTGTCCCTGTTGGCTGGTGGGGGGAAGACAGAAGTGGAGAAATGCCATGCAGGTGATACCAGAGGGGCCAAAGGCATCAAAACTCAGGGGCAAGAGAGCCGCAAGGAGTCCTCTGAGAGGACTGAGCTATCGAGGCTGAGGCCAACTCCAGAAAGCTTGTCGCTGCTGCCTGGGACAGTGCTGGATCTGTCCACCGGCATGAACTCCATGTCCAGCCCTGATACTCTGCCCCCTGGGTGGGTGGTCATCCCCCCAGGCTCCGTCCTGCTGACGTGGTGAAATGAAAGGTGAACGAAGCCCAGCCACAAGCCCAGCACCACTTTGGCCTGTGGCTTAATGGGCAGATCCAAGCAGGGAGGGGGAGAAATGGCATCCCTGTACCCTTCTCCAATCACCTCTTACCTGGACTTCAGCTCTGTCTTGTTAACCTTCACGAAAGAAGAAACCAACTCTTCTGAGAATAGCAATAATCCCCATGCAGTCCCTGCAGCTGATGATGGCCCAGCCCCACCAGTTGGCTTGGCTCTGTCCAGTCCAGAGGCCTCTTCATGGGACTGTGCCATCCAGCAACTTTCCATGTCCCCACCTTGCGCCTCCTGCAAGCCAGCTAGCCAGCATCAAGGCTGGGTGCATCCCAGAGCAGGCTCTGTACTCCTGACAGAGCAAGCGTGGATGGAGGAAGGACCAGAACCAGGCTGTGACCCAGGAGGCAGTGTGCTGATAAAGCTGGACTGTGTTAGTGGATTGGGCCTGGTGCCTGAGTGTGGTGTTCCCCACTGTCCCTCGGAGGGAGCAGGGTTACTCCACTGGGTGCCCTGGTCTGGCTCAGGCCTCAAGCAGAAGCAAGCATATCTATTTATTTATCAGGTGTGCCCCCTTTTTCTGACTGGTCCGTGTTGGGCTCTTCTCCCATGGTGCTGACCAGGTGTCCTCCAGCCTGAGGCCTCAGCCACATAGCTGCTGCAGCGGTTTCCCAATGCCCATCCCACTCCTCCTGCCCCTACACTGTGCATTTCCTGGAGATCGGGCATAGGAGCAGGCTGGTTTCTGGTGGAGAAAGAGATGCTGTTTCCATAGCACTGGGCCCAGAGATCCTCTGGGGGCCCCGGCACCTTAGGGTTTTTTGGCATAGGGCAGGTTTCCTGGTGAGGCCGGTGGCCCCTAGCCAAGAGCGGAAGTGAGGGGTCCCATCAGTCACCCAGATTCCTCTCTTCACACTATCCTGCAGGCAGTGGCTCCTCAAGCTTCATGTCACCCTTGTTACTGCAACCACAGCTGCCCCTTGGCACCAGGCCCACCGCCTGTCCCATGTCAGTCAGCTTGGCAGAGACATAGCTGTCTGATAGTGAATGGTGCCAACCCAGACCACAGCCTTGCTTTGCCTGAATTCTGCAGTGATGGGAATTAAATCTTTGGTTCCTCCTGTCAGCCTTAGAGAACACTTTGGGATGGGCACCCACATGGGCATGTGCTCCACCCATTCCAAGAGAGCCAGGTCCTGCTTGGCATCCCCTCTGCAGTGGCCCTGCCAGCTCCTTGTGTCCACTTTAGGTCTTGGCACCAGTCATACCCCACATCCAGAGGCTCCCAGGGTGAGTGTTGCCAGCTCACCATACCCAGCAGGAGGGAGGAGAAGCTGGAGTCCGTCAGGGGCAGAGGATGCCAGCACAGCAACCAGAGTGACCTGCCCCCATTTCCCACCGTCATCTGCAACAGGCAGCTAGGCTCCCTACAGATCCACCAGGGGATTTCCTGCCCTGCCCTGCCCAAAGCATGGCATCCCTCAGTCCTGGAGGTGAAGGGCCCAGCCAGGCAGAAATACCCACACCACTAACATGCTGAGCTTTGTTCTGCTGGACATCCAGCCCCACTTGCAGCATCCAGGATGTGGACATGGACGAGCCACAACCTGCTGAGGAGCCCTCCTGTGCGTGTCCATCGTGTGCGTGACCCAAATGAACCCATGCAGTGCCAGGGTCCCATGCACCAGTGGAACCAGCAGAACTGAGCCACAGCTGAGCCCTGCCAGCTGAGGCACTGGGCAGCGATGAGGCGTCAGGGAGACCCTCAGCTGGACTGCATCGACTCCGCTCCTTTCTACACTGGTTCTCCTAGACCAGGAGACAGATGGCCGTTCCTGACCCCACACAGTGCCACGGAGAGAACTGCCTCCCCTGTCCCCAGATCCTACCTGCGACAACGCATACTGCCTAAGTATGTGGCTTGGACCCCCACAGCACCTTCCCTGACAAGGAGCAAGGGTGCCATTGTGTTTAGCTATGTTAGTACCTTATCATGTAATGCAAGCGTGTGTGGCTGGCAGGCAGCGTGGGACAGAAGCACCCTCTTCTTGGCGTGAACCCCAGCCCCTTTAGCTGGGCACCCAGGTCTGGGGAGAGAGGGGGTAGTTCCTTATCTAACACACTGGAGCAGGCAAATCGATACCCCTCCCCCAGCACTGCAGGGCAGCTCTGCTGGGCATTGTGGACACCCTGTGCCCTTGGCCTGACCCCAGGCTGAACCTGGGTCAGTGCCTACCTCCGGCTTTGGCCTGTTCACACAGGGCTCCACCTTGGCTGCTCCCAGGAATGACTCCATTGGCCTCCTCCCCAGCTCAGCCCCTCATGTGCCGTCAGTGCCTCCAGCCCTGACACCTCTCTGACCTGGCACTGAGCTCTGCTCACATGCTTGTCCATGCTGCTGCCTGTGCAAGCTGAGGCTGTGGCCCTTCCTTTGCTGGCAGGCCAGCCAGCTCTGTCCTGGCTCAGCCAGCAGAGAAACTGTGCCCAACAGCAGGATATTGCTGCACTCCTGAGCTAAAGATTGGGACCACTTCACCCCGTTGGAGCCCTAGCCCTGATCCCCATTCACCAGTCACTCCTAGGCCTGGGTCCCCACAGAAAGCAAGTGGCAGCTAAAGGGAGGTCTTTCTTTCCCCCCCACACACACACAATTGGCCTGGAATGGAGGAACACAGCAGGGAGTAAACAGGGGAGCCACAGTTTGAGAAATAACCACCTCTCTTCCTGCAGGCCAAGCACATCCCCTTGCTCAAGCCCGAGCTCACATGCAGGGCAGGGAGGGAACAGCCACATGCCTGTCACAGCCACTTGCTTTCAACAGGCTCAGCTGTGGACAGGGGTAGGGGTGTCAGCTGCTGGGGAAGGTGCAAGAGCTTTCAGCAGGCTGGGCCTTCCTCCCTTACCTCCTAGGAAAAAAGTGTTGTTTGGAAGAGTAGCCCCCACCCTGCAATCTGCCCTGCAGCACCCTGCTGAGGTGGTGGGGTGAGGACTGTGGAAGGTGCTGTGCTCAGAGCTCCCAAGCCTGTGCTCTGGGAGGCTGTAGCCATCCCACCAAACCACATCAGGCCCCATGCCTGGGAGCAGCTGGGGCCAGTCACTTCAAGAAGGGGCAGGAGCCAGCAGGTAGCCAGGCCAGTGGACAGAGCAGGGGCAGCAGAAGTGCAGTGCAGGCAGTGCCCTATGTGCCTGTAGCCATGTCCCCATACAGCAGTGTGGCCTGTGGCATCTGCAGTTCACAGCATGCACTGTCCCACCCTGGGCCCTTTACCGTGGGCCTGGTGGGGCCTGGCTCGATGCTGGCTCGGAGGGGATCACAGGACAGTCAGTGTGGAAGGTGGAGATGGGGACAGACCTGGGACCCTGCACTGAAGGGCTCTGGAAGTTCATCAATGGCCAAAGAAAAAGGGTGGCTGCAGGGGCTTGTTGTAGCCACAGAGCTGCAGTGAGGCATTTGTGTTGGTGCCCACTTGGCAAGGCCTGGGCCTGCCTCTCCCAGGCAGACCTGCACAGTACGTACCATAAGCTGTTCTAGACACCGCAGAGCCGCAAGGCCCATTATAAGCTACGTAAACTCATTAGACTGACTAGCCCTTTGAGTGGCAGCTCTGCTCCCCCCCACTTCCCGGGGCCAGGTGTAGGAGCCACCTCCCTGCCCAGCTCTTATGCAGTGCGGGCTCCTCAGCTTCCCTCCCTCCCTGCACTGCCCCACCGACACTCCCTCTCCTGGGGGATTCTTATACCTCGGCCAGAGGGGGCCCTGGGACTGCCCCCTCCCTAGGGGACCCTCATTTTACCTCTTGACTGCCCCTCGATTGCAGCGGGGTCACTTGTGTCTTTTTTTCCCCTCTTTGTCCACAAGGGGGTCCTGTGTACCTCTCAGCTGCCCCTCAGCAGGACCCCTGCTACACTGCCTTCCCCTGATCAGTGGGGCTCCCGCAGCCCTGCACCACTGGGAGTATTCTCTGTGCCCCTCCTCCAACCCCCCCACTGCAGCTCCTGGAGGAATGGGCCCTCAAGGTCTACTAGGAGGATCAGGGACTTTCACCAGCCCCACATCCCAGAGCTCCATCCTCACAGCCAGGCAGCCTGAGGGAGCTGGCCTCTCTGCCCCCCAGCCCCCTTTTGGCAACACCTGGCTCCAGAGAGCCCATGGGAGTTGCTGAGGGGAGCCTGGGCTGTGGCTGCTACATCCCGTTGGGGAGCATGAGCTGATGCCAGAAGAGCAGTGCGCCACTCAAAGGGTTACCCTTAGCACAGCATGTGACTTGGTGATAGACTAGGCCTGCTAGGGCCGGTGTACGTTTCTTTTCCGTTCGTTGGTTTGTTGTCACACATTCCAGGACATCAGTATTTTAACAGTTTCTAAGTGCCTTTCTATTGTAGTTTCTGTTTTTTCTCTTGGCTCCATTGCTGTTAGCATAGACTTTAAAAATAAAGAAACAAGGAGAGATAAGCTAACGACTATAACACTGTCTTCCTCCTTGGGAGAGGGGAGTTTATTAAGAAAACAATAAAGTGAGTTGAAAAGTTGCTTCAGACATCCTGGCTTGTGATTATGTACCCCTAGTGCCACCTTGAGAACCTCCAGCCTATGCAGAGCACAGGCCACAGCCTTGTGGCCCCCGTGCCTTGACCTCCCTTTACCAGCTGGATACTGCCAGCAGCAGACAGGTGTTTATAAAGTGCAAGGCAGGAAGGTGCATGCAGGCAGCACATGGGGCTCTGGGAATTAAAGCAGGCTGCGTTCAAGCTCGCAGAATGAGGCTACCCAACTCACCACCCCCTGGTCCTTTCTGCTTGCTGCCCACTCAAGCTGGCTGCTCTCCACCCGTGCAGGACCAGCATGACTGGCCTTCTGGCTGCCGCAGGGCTCGTGATGAGGAGTTGGAACTCAAGCCCATTCTTTGGGTATCAATGCCACTCTTACCTCCGAAATGGATCAAAAGGGAAAGAAGCAAGATTAAACAGAATGAACCCAGGAGCAGACAGGAATTGTCAACTTTCCCTGGGGCTGCCACTGGAGTGAGAAGCCAGACATGAGCCATGCCACAGCCCATACCCAGCACAGGAGGGATGGAGGGGAGGGTGGGAACATCTGAATAGCTCGTGCCTTTCCTTACCAAGGGCAGGGCACCAAGGGAAGGGAGGAAAGTGGAAATGGCTTCTTAGCCAGCTGGGCCTAGCCAGGTTATTCTGGGATCCGGAGTCTTGGCCAGTCTGAATGCAGCACCCCAGAAACAGGTCTCAAACTGGGTGAATCACAGGGTGAATGCTATTTGCTCCTACTCCTCCCCCTCCCTCTTCCCTTTCCAAGACCTTTTCACCTCATCACCCAGGAGGCTGGGGGCTCTCCCTGACTGCAATTCCTGAGCATTCTCCCCTGTGGGCGCAGCCTTTGCCTTCTTCCCCAAGCTGCAGGACAGCACTTGCCTTGCAAACCCTGTGCATGCCTCCCCTGCTGCACCTGCAGGGGGTGACAGACCATGCGTTTATGATCTAGTGGGAGTGAGCACCACTGGCCGCAGGATGAGCTGCTGCAGTCAGAGGGCAGGGCTAATCATGATCGGCTGCAACCCAGCATACAGCAAGGGCAGAGAGCAGCCCCAGTGCCATCTCTTGGCAGATGCCAGGCTGGATTGGCTCAGAGAGCCCAAGTGACCTCTGCCCTCCATCTCCAGCCAGTGCTTTTCCACTACACTCAGCTCAAATCTTCCTGCAGCAATGAGTCACACCCAGGAGACAGGGCCACACAGACAGGGGAAAGCACTTGGCTACAATCCAATGTGGTAAAACCTGTCTAGGAAACAGGAACCAAACCAGCACTAGCCGTGTCCCCAGAGTGTTCTGGCCTGGGCAGCACCAGACAGCAGCCCAGGTGGCAGGGGGACTCTGGAGCTTTGCCCTGGTCCTGAGCAAACTCCATTCCCCAGGGCTGAAAGAGCTGGACAAGAAGCAGCCTCATGGCAGCTCTGGGACACAGGCAGCTCCAGCACACCTGCCCAGTGTCTCCCTGCCTGCTTAGGCCCATGACTCCCAAGAGAGAGTGGGATGACCACCGCTCTCAACAGCTACAGCAGGATCAGTATCAGGTCTCTGCTGTCCCTCAGATGCCAGCCTGAGGAAGGGCCCTCACCCCCACTACTGCAAGCCACAGAGCAGTGGCCCCAGGCAAGGGCAGGAGAAAACAGTGCAGAGCTCAGTGGACGGGACCAGGGCTCTGCCTTGGAGCCATAAGTACAAAGATGTTTGCCTTGGAGCACTGTGCTGCCAAAGCAGCAACTAGTGGTCTGGCACCACTGGGTATATTTTTAGCCTTGCCAGGGTGGGGTGAACACTTGGAAGCCATGTTAGGGGAATGGAGTAATGCAGCAGGGCCAAGCCCCCCCACAATCATCCTGTGCTGCCCACTGGACCAGGGCTGTGTGCCTGTCCTGTAGTGTTATCCCAGAAGCCTCCCCTTGCACCTGCCCCAAAGTCCTGCAGCTTCAGATACACACAGGGAGGCAACAGACATTTCCTGGCTAGCTATAATTTAGTGGGGGAAACAGGGGACAGAGTTATATCTCTGGCTTCTGCTCTTCCTCTTTTTGGCTCTGGGCCTGGATCCGCAGCTCCTCATCCAGCCGCTCCTTGGCTCTCAACACCTGTGGGACAAAGGCCTTGCAGTGACTCAAAGTGCCATAAAGGTGGCACTGCTGCAGCTTCCTGAGCCTGATGAAGGGTTTTTGAACCCGAAAGCTTGCTTAATAACTATTCTCCAACCATTTGGGTTGGTCTAATAAAAGATATCAAATTCACCCAAGGAACCTTGTCTGCCTATATCCTTAGACCAACACGGCTACAACCTAAACCCCTGCATAAATGTGGAGAGTGAGAGAGGGGGAGGGCACAGCTGCTTTTCCCAACCTAAATCAGGCCCCTTTACAGGCTTCCACAAGTCAGCCCTTCTAGTCCCTGTTCAATACTGCTGTGAAAAGAAGCCATGTGGAGGCAGCACAATCAGCTGCTGACGCCGAGTTATGCAGCCAGGTACATGCTACACTTGAGGACAGTTTCCAGACCAACTCCCAGCCCAGCAATACATGCTCCCTGGATGGCATGAGGCCTCACAGGGCGAGTACAGGGGACTCAGAGGGGCTAGGGAGTGTGTGAAAGCCCTTTGAACCCTGCCAGCAGGAAGTTCTCACTAGCAGCCTGCCCTGAAAGCAGCTCATTCAGCTGACGTGCACCCAGGCAAACGCACCAAGAACCCGCGGACGCCTTACAGCGTAGGTCTCCAAGAGCTCACTGCCACCCCCATGAAGCCCTGAGCCACACCCTGCTGCCAGCCCAGGACCATGGTGCAGGGCTAGCTGGAGTCCTGAGCCACCTGCTTACCTTGGACTGCACATAAAATGATCCGCCCAACGACTTGTCGTTCACCTTGAACAAGTGCTCATAGTTCTGCCAAAAGGAAACGGGCGCTCTTAGCCACGGTGCAGCACGTGCCAGTGGCCAGGAGCAGGGGCCAGCAGGGCTGTTCTAAACAGCCACCGGTCTCACCAGCCAGTGCCAGGGACGGGCCGCAGCGTCTGCGCTGGCAGGAAAGGGGCCTGGGTCTGCCCAAGCTAGTGTCACCACCCACTGACCCAGATCTGCCAAGGGAGTGAAGAGCCGCCAGGAGGTCCTGCATCCCCTCTGCCACTGTGTTGGCCACCAGCAACAGGAGACAGAGAGAGTCCCAGGGGTGGCCGGGTCCCTGGTCTACGCTGGGCTGCTGCAGGACAGCTCTGCCTGCAGCACCCCTGGCCAAGGAGGGCACCCCGCCGTCCCAACGGTTCCTGCCCGGCCTGTGCGGGCCGCAGCGCCTCCACCTGCCCCCGCCTTGCCTCACCTTCTGGATTTCCTCGGGTGCGAGGCTGGACACGTTGAGGATCTGCTTAGCCTCCTGCAGGCTGATCCCCGCCACCCTGGACTCTGCCGCCGACAGGGGCCTGCCGCGGCCCCG